CCATCTATACTGGAATCTTTGAAACAATCACAGCCCATGTCCACATCGAAGTCCCCAGCCCAAAATGTGTCGGTGTTGTTGTCTATCGCTGCCTCCAATGGCCCAAAAGGACCACCAGTGCCAGTGGGCGAACTGACACTTGGGAAGATTTGGGCTCCATCGGCAGCGAAGAGCATCACTTCGTGCACATCCCAGCTGGCTTGACAATCGCCCGCTGCGGAAATGGGGCCTCCGTTGCTGAGCTTCAGGTATCGAAACCCCGAAAATGGATTGCACACGCCGGTGGTCGGGCGGCTTGAAGAAGTCTGTGGTCCATCACCACAAGCCACATGCAGCAAGATGAACGCAACCATGTTCCAAAGCCCATTTAGGGCCAACATCATCGGCACAATCACGCGATGGGATGCAATGGGTACTGAAAAGGGACAATAGCTGAGCTGCGACTACACATTGGCAGTTGAGCATTTGTTGAGTCCAAGTTATTGACGTTACTCAATTTCATCTTAGAACTCAACGACCTTGAGCCCAACGCTTGAAGCGATTGCGCCCTAGCGCACATTAAATAGCACACAATGAAGCAAACTATGCACGTCAAGAGGAGCAAATCTATAGAGCGCTGTTCTACTCCAACTGCTGAGGAAGTAAGGACGAGCACATACCATGCACATACCCTATACCATATCCTACCATGTTCCTAGAGGAGGGCCCATTGAATGGCAAAGGACACGGGTACAAAAAACATTTGAAAATACACAGTCACCTCACCAGAAAAGAATCTACCTTGGGACAAACGCTCCAAAAAACACAAGAAATACGAATCCTTCTTCAAAAAGGAGACACCGACATGCATGCCCGAACCCATCCCCTCGCAAGAACCGCCCATCCGCGTTCGGCACTCCCGAACCCATCCGCGTTGGACGGTCTCCCCTGGGACCCCCGAACCCGCTTCCGACTCGCCCTGCCGAGGGCGACGGCCGAAGGAAGTAGATCCATCCAGAAAGGCTGCGATGCTCGGATCGATCAGCGAAGCTTTTTCAGGAAAAAGAGTGAGGTCATCTCCGCCGCCGGCATACAAGGTGTCACGAGCCATCCAGGACAGCAGCTGATGGTTGATGGTCAAACTCCAGAGCTCAATCACGGCCAAAGAAACAGCCGAGCACAATGTCAAATGACAAAAGCATCAACCTGGAAACTCACAATCAGCTCTGATGTGCTGGCACAACTTGCTCTGCACAAAAGCTGTCTCTGCGCCCTCGAACACATCCATGTGCTGGCAGCGCCAGTGCCACTGAACACTAAAACCCTGCGACCTCTCTTTCCCTCTTTTTCTTTGGCCTCCGACAAGGTTTTGTCCACAATCGGTCCCAATATGGACACGCGGCTGAAGTTTTGCTGCACGAAAGACCTACGAAAGTTCGTGAAAAATTACAATTCCTCAGAGAACGCCACCCTCCGCTCTACTGGAACCAACAAAAACATCTCAATAGAAATTTAACACCAAAAACCTATTTGGACTCAAACATGCACAACAAAAGACCAGTTAAAACAACAAAATACCAAATACCAAGAAAAACAACACCGACCTCAAGCAGCTCCGTGGCCAGCTCCAAGGTTCGGGCCTCCAGCCTCAATAGGTCTGCGAGAGTTCGGGTCCAAAAGACGGGGTTTCGCCCGCCCCATGCCCGCCCCATGCCCATTAGCCCAGCAGTTCCAGTCGTCCCAAGTCCCATCAAATCCCCCAAGTCTGTTTGCATCTGAGACCACCATTGGGACCGGTTCAGGTAGGGAACTCTACGCATCAATGCAGATCGAAAAAAAAGAACATCGATCCAAAAATATCGATCATCTACAGCATTTCTGCGTAATTTGCGGACGGCCAAGCCTTGGTATTTTTAACATTTAATGTTTGCAAATGGACGGCCAAGTGGCTTCCACCCCACATTTTTTGGTGCTTTGATTGATGCGCAAGCCTAAAGGTTCCACAACCTGATCCCATGGGTAGTTGTGTTTGGTGATTCAGCATCTCGGATAGAGTGTAGCACCTTGCTCCGAGGGCTTCTTGGTGGTGCATCGCTTCTGGTGAGGTTCTTGAGCAACCAAACTGCACAGGTTCTTGGAATCCTCTCTGCGTTGTTTAAGATGAAACCTTTCTCCGAACTGCGGCTGAAAACAAAAAGCTGAGCGGAAGCAAAATGAAGGAAGCTCGGCCACAAGAGATTGGTGGAATATGGTGAAATGATCTCCCAAAGCAGCAATCGTCTGATCTGGAACTGCTAAGTTATGGTGGAAGCTCGGCCTCTGCCCAAGACTCTCCCAAGACTCTCTCTCTCTACATATATATATATACATAATAATGATAGTAATATATATATATATATAGCCGTACACTGCAGGGAATCTTTGAGCTGCTAAAACTCCTTTTCCTTCTGTGTTGTCCAAAGTCATGGCCAAGTCTAACCGTCTTGGGAAGTCAACCTTGGAACCTCCAACAAGACAGCATCCACACATGTGCACTTCAAGCGAGCATCTCTGTGGGTCTAGCATTGGGACACATTCTTGAGGGTCAAGCAAGCGTGCAATCTGAGGTCGAGCAAGACTGTCATCTGCCAGCCGAAGTACCCTGCCAGTGAAGAGCAGCACTTCTCAAAGGGCGGAAATCCCCGCATAGATCGTACCCCTTGTTTGGCCCTTTTGCGATGAGATGGGGGGGGCTGGCTAAGGATCGTGGCCACCAGGCAAACAAACACACACCATCAAGCAAGTCTTGCTGATTTGCAGAACAAATCGAAAGCACTCAAACAATTGGCGATCCTTTTTTTGATTGTAGACCTAGATAACCTAATAGGCGTTGGTACAGTAACTACTCATCATGAACTCCATATTCAGAGCACATTGACAAAGTTGACCTGACTTCCAGAGCTCTTGGTTAAGTCAGTACACAAGCAGTTCCGAACAACAGCACCAAACCTTCTGTACTTGCACTCACAACATGTTCTTTCTTCCTGGATGTTCCATTGATCACTCTGCTCCTCCCCTCAAGTAAGAAAACCTCATCTCACCTGAACTCACATCCACTCTCCCGGTGCCTGGGGATCTTCACAGCTTCATCGCTCTCCTGGCAGGGAGAGGACTGAGCTTCGATTCCAAAGGACGGATCGATGATGGTTCCAGGGGCACTTGGTGAAGACACTTGTGCTTGTTCGGAAGTGGCACTTGTGCCAGAAGCTCACAGCAAGCATGTTAGCGAAACGTATGGACTTGGGTCTAGGGCGTCTAACATTCCACTCATTCATTACAAAAAATGCACTCTTCTGTTCTGCATCCGATGCAAGCGATGCTTATCTGCACATTCTGCGTCATCCATCAAGCACTGTCATGCCCAATGACAGCAGGATTGTCTAGTCATGTGCTTCTGAAATCCGTTGTATTGAACAACTAGATAAGGCCCCAATCAACTGGATATCAGCGGAACAACGGGATGGACCTGTTGAACAAAGCCGTGGGACTTTGCAAACAGAAACGGCGTTGCCGGAGATGGTGACTCCCGAAAAGCACGTGTCACATAGCCATTAAAGGAAGATTCTCTAAGTAATTAGCCAAAACAAGTCCCAACCCCCTATTCTGTCCATGAAAGAAGACAAACACCAGCGGGATTCTGGCCTGGACCGAACAGGAAATACATGAATCCTCGATCTGGGAAACATATTGAAATGTATTGAACATTGAAAAAACAGTGTGCCTCATGCCCTTTCATTAGAAACCACAGGCCTGTGTTAGCTGCAGCAACAACAGGAACAAACAAAAGCAAAGGCCGTGGCCGCCCCCAAAAGAACCACTACGATCTCCCACGGAACCAGCCCGCTCCAGAAGTAGTCCCTGGCAAACTGCATCGCACGCGTATCGAACCTGAGTGGTCAGTGATTCTCCCCACTTAGTGAACGCAAAGGGGCAAGAGTGTCACCACAAACATTTGCTCTTCAGGCTCCAGAGCAATACGTATTTGGGGTGTGTTTTGCACATTTTGGTGTCTATGTTCCTTCTACCAGGGGGTATTTGGGAGATCTCCCTATTTTTATACAAACCCATTGGATTCCCAAGAAGGATGCCGAATCGGGAACAGGTTTGAAGACCTCAGACCTTCCCACGGAACACCCAGACTTGCCCACCAGGAAAAGCAATTGGATTGATCCAAGTTCTTCAGAAGCAAAGTCCGAAAGTCCGCGGGTGCGATGAAAAAAACTCCTTGCCAACCCTTCACTCTGCAAGAACTCACGAGGTTCATGGTATGGTTTCTTTTGGATAAAAGGCGTGTCTTGGGTTACTCCCTGAACTACAACCCAACATTCCAAAAGTAAAAATAACAGCTTGGTTCCAAGCCAGATCATTAAACCATAATCTGGCCTTTCTGACAAAAACATGCAAACTGTGAGGGGAAACATGATTATTGTAAGAGCCTTTACGGTCTCTACAATCTAGGAAGACAGGCATTCTCGTTTCTCAATTGAATACTGTTCAATTCAACTTCCTCCTCCATTTACTCGCGTGCGAGTGGCTTTCTTTTTCGGAGTGTTCATTGGATACTTAACTGTGCTGGTTCACCTCCCGGGTTCAGAACCTGTTATATAAATGCTGAGACTTGTGACCAGGAAGTATCTCAATTCTTATACTGTCATTGAGACAGGATCCCAAGGCACATAGGTATTTTTTCAGATTATGACGGTTTACCTTCTGCATCTTTCTGCACACAATACAAACCTGAAGGTCAACCAGCTTTCAAGAACACTGACTATAAGCTGTCCATCCGTGGTCCTTGGAGTCCTTGAACATCCTGTCTTTATTAATCAACCATTTAAACATTTGCTACAAACAGAAGTCAAAACACACATATATATATATTTATAGATTTCTTTCAGCTATGCGCCCTAGTGCCGGCCGTTGCTCCACATTTTGTTCAACGACTCACAGTTGGCCCGGCGCACTGCTTTCCAGGCCGACTGCGAGCTGGATGGACGATCCGAAAGAATCTCGGAGTGACCTACCCAGGGATTGAACGCTCTCAAAAGGGAGATCAAGCAAGAGTCAAACGTGCTACAGTGGCACCCTTAAGGACATGAGCCATGAGGTAGGATTCGGATATTGATATGTATACAGTCTTTAATATATATATGTATACAATATGTATAATTAAAACCCTTCCCAATTATATATATATATATGATGTATGCATATTACACCCATTACATATATGTAAGTTATGTATAATATCATGTTAAGATATGTTAAGAGACCAGCACTGTGAGCGTTTGCACTTCCATGAACAAGTGTTATTGAGGCCACAATGGAAGAGCATTTTCCATGAAACATTGTATTTGGAGGCCACAGTGGAACAACATTGGCAGTCAGTATCAGTAATTACTCTCATCATATTGTGCTGGATGTTGCACCACCTTCTAAGCAGTCACTGACTTGACAGGTGTTCGGGGTCTAAAGCCGACACAAAGCTACGATAGCGGGAAATAAGATCGTCCAAAACAATGGTCTTGCTCTGATACGTCCATAAACGATTGGTTGCAACATGCTACAGAAAACTCTCATCATTGGATCAATACTCAAGGCATCCTTAAACAAATCCGCGGAAGGCTGTTCAACCAAAACCAGCGCCGTGTTGTGCTATGGGTCGTGAGGATCTGCACCGCTACCTAAGGCCTTCACAGTGTCTTCTGGAACCAAACCCAGAAGCCGTGCTCCCAATCTCAACACGAGGACAACTCAATCTTGGCACGTGGTTGATCCTCTTCCCCCTGCGTATCTATCTTAGATTCTGTGGGAAGATCGCGAGAAAATATCTACATCCCAAACGCAGCCTTCGTTGCCAGGGGCCCTCCTGTCCACTTCAAAATTCAACGAGGCCACTGAAAGGTGGGGACGGCGAGCGAGACTGGACAGCAGTGAAAACATGTCAACACCCAATTGCAAACAAGAGCCAAATCTCGATTCACCGGTTTAGGTTGCCTGCTCTGATCGTCTCTAGGACAACATGCGTTGATGTCCATGCCCTTGGTGGGGTTAAAGCCTGATTGAAATCAAACCCAAACGACCTCAAACCACCGAGCCACCTTTAAAGCCGGCACCATCCCGCCCAGTGCCTTGTTGAACCTCAAGTGCTTCCCACTCGGATCCATCGCCAGAGTTGGTACCCACGGTATAGAACTTCACCTGACCGGTTCGAGGTTTGAACAAAATGATCGTGGATCAACCTGGAGGGTGGATTCTGGTGGTGTTTGCAAGAGTGGACAGCATGGCCGCTGGACAACATCTCTAGAAGCAAACTGTTTTGCATTGTTTTACTTTACCCCTCCCCCCTTCAATGAAGAGACCCTTAGGGGTGTTGGGCAATAAAGGCCGAGTTCAAATGCTGAAGGATGGACACTTGTGACTGGCAGGGTCGTCATTCTAGCATTGGCAGGACAAGGGCAAGGCTTTGGATAAAGTCAACATCGGCAACTCCCTTAAACTTCCCCTGGTTTTCTTGCCTTGCCACACTCAATTCGTCAGACAATCCTTCCTGTCTCCAAGCACGGCCCCACAATAAAAGAACACCCGCTCATCCCCAACACAGTTGTGCCGACCTTGCCTGTCACAAAAGTCAGGATGGTGCCATAGAGTGCAATTCCGCCAGCTGAGAGGGTGAGGTACAAGACCGAAATGCAAAGAAACACGGGTCCTGCACGGTCCGACCAGAGGCATGTTTCATCATTTGTCCAATCAAATCGATGTTTGCTGATTCTTGCTAGCTGCTAGGCATTACTCTCAGGAGTCTGAGATGACCCTTTTGAGTTTCTCTACAGGATAGTCTTCTTCGTCTTTGGAATGGACTCCCTGGACTCCCAATGACTCCAAGCTCTGGGAAACCGACAAAAAAACCCGCACCGACCCTGTCGTCCAACTGAACATGAACAGGATGACACGATCTGACGATGACACGATCTGGTTGCATGGCCCAAGCAAAGGCCATGTTCCAAGAGACCATGCCACACGGTTGGTTTGGGTGGTGAATCCAGCTTTCCATGCCGACACGTCGGTTTTTCAGTGTGACTCCGACTGCAGAAAGCACACACAAGCACACCAGTCATGAGGAAGTGAACCCGGCGCTCTTCCCCAAACCCTGGGATTCTCCAATGCCCTTTTCTACAAGTCTAGATGACGCATGTTTGAGACGATGATGTCCATCAAAAAATCAACCGAGGCAGTACATCTACTGAAGGGAGTATGTATCAGTCACTGGCACATCATGCCACCTTTGTAGCTTCGCTTTGGCTTTTGGTTGCAGTCCTAATGATGCGCCTCATTCATGGCCTTTAATGGACATGGTGTGGACAAAACAACACCAGCCACTACACTTCACATGAACAAATTGTCCAGGCCTATATATATAGATGGATTAATACAGGAGCGTAGAGTTCTTGCAAACATAGTATGGTTTTCACTTAATTATATACTGAGCACCAGATCTTAGTTGGAAACCACCAGAGCTTACCTTGGGAAACAGCAAACCTTGACGGCCTCTCTCAAAAAGTCTGAGGGAACTCCCCTTCCCCGACGGTGAACCCAATATATTAGGTCCTAGGCTCCAGAGAAGCACTCCACGGAAACCCAAGGAGATGCGAAAGGCCTGTGGGGCATGGGAGCGGGTGACGGAGTTCTCCAAGCTTCGGGTCCATGGATTTCAGCTGCGCCCGGTCGGCGGGCTGAAATGGGGAACTACTCTTTAGATCTCTTGAGGGCTCCGTTCCAATGACCTGAGATTCGGTGTCGGAGATTCTGATAGTATTTGGATACTAAAGTATTTGGATGCATTTGGAATCCAAACAGGTACAATGATGAATCCACCCGAACACTTAGCAGTAGATAAATTGTTCGACGGAGAAGCGGACTGAAGTGGATGATTTTTCCTCCAGATGAAAATCAAATGGAATCATATAGAATCAAGATTTTCTACAGCCCATCTTGGAGAGTCGATGGGAGTGACTCGGGCTAAAGGCTCCAAAATCCACCGGAACCCGACGCGTCGCGCGACATCACACCTCATGGCCTGAGGTTGGTCTCCACCTACGCAGGAAAAACCATAGAAAGACCCGACTTTGTTGTCCTTTCGACTTGAAAAAACAATTTGGTCTCAAAATCTGCTTATGTCTGCATTGGGACGAAACGAGTTCGAAGATGCAGAGTTTCAATGGTCAGTTGGATCCGAACCATGGATATTTAGAAAAGGAAAGACTCGGTGAAGCACTTGTTGTTGGCCTTGCACGTCACAAACACAGCTGCTGGTGCCTCAAAACCAGCTCAGTGTTTTCATGCTTGTTCATTTCATGCCACTGTCTTGGAACAAGTTTGAGCGTGTCAACAAGTGAGTTTTTTGTTTGTCACCCCTAAGACTCCTAAGAACAAAACAAGTATAGTATCTAGAAAGTCTTGTACTTGACCATCAACGGTTTGGACGACAACAGTGACCATGACAGCTCTGGAATGTCCCAGGCCCAAATGAATAAAAACACTTCCTTTCAGTATACGCTATGATGGTTTTGACCTGACAAGCCTCGTATGCATTTGGCTGTTCCATGCATTGAGGGGGACTGTTTGACAGATTCTCCTCCGCCGCCGCCGATACCCTGTTTGCAGCTTAGTTGCTTGCATTTTTTTCTCCCCTTTTTGCAATTGTCGTTTTCAAGTCTCATCGTAGCACTTCTCAAGATGTTACAGCCCCTGTCTGAGGTCTCGGTTGACATCACGGCAAGATTCGTTCACATTTTGATCACACAGTGGCGGAAAGATCGATTGTGAATGTCTTGCTGCCACCTTTACACCTTGAGTGTCTTTCAGGGAGGGCACGGGGAACAAAAAATAAATACGAGGAAACACGACGTAAATACCCGGAATAACTCAATTGCTAGAGCTGCTAGAAAATGTGCAAAGCTGCACAATGGTCGAGTTATTCACGAAAACCGACGAACACCCAGCATATGGCACTCCCATGCACTCCCATCAAGTATCATCAAATATTCTTTCCACTTCACAAGATGGTTCACACGTGGTCAAGGTATGTAAAGCACGGCTATGCTACTTTGCTAATTTAATAAAATGCCTTTCACGTCCAAAGGCCTTTCAAACAAGACCCTACCATGCATGTCTGCATACTCGCCTGCATTAAGAGGAAACGACTCTTTAAGGCTCATGGATGCATGGACCAAATTGCCGTCAACTGCCCCAAACTGCCGCAGTTCATCAAGAAATCCGTCTGCAGGAGATCAATATTGTGGAAGAAGGCCGCAGGACGGAAAAAGGCAACGTTTCATGAACACGGCCTTTTTTTTTTGGCCGCAACAAAGTTCCACGTAGTATATTATATATATATATATTATAGATATAACTATAATATCATATTATTGATATATATATATATTATATACATGTACATATCCTATGCTCTGTTCGATGTGATGTGCCGCAGTCCACTGGTGTGACGGTGACACTCCGGAACTGGTCCATGTGGATCCCTTCGGGCCACCAAAGCCATGCACAAAAATGATACAGCCTTTCCTTGATGAGCGGTTCTTGGCTTCGCGATGTGGAGATACTCAACCTGGCTACGTGACACCTGATGCTTTTGTGGAACCAAGATCCACTGACCAAAGTAAGACCGACTATGACAGCCTCCCGAACGAATAATTAACCAGGATCTGACCACACCAAAGCACTGCACCCCAAATAGAACAAACCGACCAATCAGGGATTCTTCTTTGTGACCGAGCAAAAGGCATTAGTCTACGCGACCGAACAAACGAGAAAGCCCGGTGTTGTGAGGCCTGAAACGGATCCAGGTGGCGAATTGGATCAGAAAGCTCACCTCGTCCGACGGCCGAGTTACGGGACGGCGAGACCATACGTACCGGGGGGGCAGAGTGGGATGTCAGTACGGGGGGTTGGAAGATGTTGAGCATTTGTTGGCTTTGGAAGATGAGCTTGCAAATCAAAGGATGTTAACACTAAGACTGCTAAGTTCAAAGGAGAAGGTCCAAGGCAGCTTCTCGAGAGTTGACACTGGCACATTGAGTAACATATAGTAACATTACAAAAACCCAATGGGCAGCCGAAACTCCTTGTTCAAATTCAAGCCCTCGAATAGATTTCGAGGGTCCCATCGCTTCCCTCATTTTTGGACAACTCTAGACTCTAGACTTCAGCTTGGAAGGGAAGCATCGCTGTCTTCTGATGTGCAAAGGCAGGTTTCCAATACCACGCTTTGACGGTTGCACCTCATATGTTCTTGGGTCGCAACGCATCTGCTGCCCCGTCGCCAATGTCGCCAGATAGTCCATACATCCGACGTCTACGATCGAAGCAAGAGAATATGTCCAATTCTTCTCTTTTTAATCGACCTCAACCTACCTCGTGTCTTGCATGTTGAATCTCATTTTCCCACTGGTCCGATCCCTGGTTTTTCGTGCGTCGCAGGTGCGTAATGGCATGTCAGCTCATTTACTGTCAGGATCTGTCAGGTATGTCTATAGCTGCGGTGGCTGGATTGAACACATGGAAGCCTATTGGACTCGGCTTCGCCTGATCCTCCAAGTTCCGATCTCTATGGGAAGTGGCACAGTCAAAGACCACGGTGGCGGCAATGAGCTCTACAAAGTGATACTTCAAGGTGCCCAGAAGGACCAAGGCGAAACACACCTCAGAGTCGAATCAACTCCTCCCACCTGCTTCGGACCCACCAACGGGTCCGATGAGAGGTGCCCGGCAAAAAAAGGGTGGAACACGGCGGAACATCCACCTAAGGTGAAACTATTAGCTACAAACAAACAAGTGTCGGCCTGGCCGGTGCCTTTGGTTACGCACCGATTTCTTTAATCGTGTTACAACACCATGGAAACACTTTACGGAAGTATGTTTTGCAAAACATTGCAATAATTTATTGCCCCTGCACACGACATCACAAGATTTATATGTCCAAGTTCGTAACTGCCAGGGCACCGAAACCCAATGAGAATGCAAGTTGAGTGTCATGAGGATTACATCCCTAGTATACAAACAAAGTCTGGGGGAAAACATGGCTACACTTGCGCGGGTGCCGTGCTAGTCTTTTTGAGCTTGGCGCGAAGTTCCCAATAAAATTACAAAATGAACTCGATAGCAATATTGACACTCAAACGCTTATCTTGTATCTTGCATCTTTCCTGCATGGAAACGCAGCATCCAAACGACGTTCTACAAGCCTTTTCCCAGCTACCCAGTATACAAAGAGCCAAACAAATGGCACCACGGCCATAATAGCTCAACCGGGACTATCAACCCCCCCTATGAAAACCTTGCTACCTATGCCTACGCGCACTAAGCCCCAAACTTCTCACAAAGTGGTCCTGAAAATCCAAAGCTCTCACGCAGGGGCAAACTGTTCTCCAAAAGGGAAGGATAAATGATAAATGCCTTCGTAGCTTTAGCTCCAAGCCCTGACCACTTCTCACTTTGCCCAAGCGTCTGTGCCAATATGAGGTGTCTGGAACCTAGGTTGGAGGCCATCGCTTCTAGGTCGGAGGCCTCGCTGTTAGGTTGGAGGCCATCGTTATTATAGGTTGGAGGCCATCGCTTCTAGGTTGGATGCCATCACTCTTAGGTTGGAGGCCATCGCTAATAGGTTGGAGGCCATCGCTTCTACGTTGGAGGCCATTGCTAGTAGGTGGGAGGCCATCGCTATGTCTGGAACCTAGGATGCAAGCGCCCCAAGATCGCTGGCACCTAAGAATGGTGCAGTGATGCAGCGAGCGAGTGGGCCAGATCAGAGTTGTTCAGGAACTGTTGCTTGTCGGTGTCTTCCAAGATTTTGAAAAGCACAAAATTAGCTAACCACCAGCTCTAAATATGTAAACATGCACGATTGACGATTCTGTGGGTCTTTTTCTCACTGCCAGGATGTCACTGTATGTTTCTTTGCTGTATGATCTAAGACTCCGCCGACCAACCGTGACGGAACCTGACGGGTGACTGGGCCAATGGAACGTCACTGTCACCGACGAACTCATCGGCCCTTCAAAAAGTTCGCCAAAGGAAGACGTCGTGTGCCACTCACAGAGTCTTCGCCTGTGGTAGTGAACCGCGGCAAAGCCTTCATTGAAACATATATGCAAAATTCAAAAAATTGCATGTAAATAGGATTTACATGGGTATCGCCGGAATTGCTCGGCACTCTCGCTCTCATCAATACTTTAACCTGTACCTTAGATATGGATTGATAATGATTGATAGATATGGAATGGGCGGGCTCAAAAGTTTTAGATTCTCATGCCTGGCTCAATTTTCCATTTGACCGCCCATTGGTTTTGACATGTATTGACAAACACCCAGGTGAGAGCCTTCAGAAATGAACCTAACCAATATTGAGAGCTCTCCGCATGCACCTGCTTGCCCAAGCAAACGGGCACTTGTACTGCCTTGCAGAATGCAATACAGAGGATCTTTCAAAATGTTGATCTATTGCAAAGGATCCAATCACTGATCCAATGCTAACCTCATTCGGTCTCGCGCAAAACTATCGCCTGCAAGTGTGAGTTTCTGATTATATATTGCTCATGGGGACTTTCCATTTATGCAAATCAAAAACTACAATTTCTGTTGCCGGTTGCTTATGTAGTGGCGAAGTCCACACTGACGACTGACGATCTTCTGCACTCACACATGCCTGAGAACAGCATATCATGCCAATGCATGGAAAATTGGTAGGAAAAACATCGTCAGACGGAATCACCCAAGGATATCCGCACATTGCGCCGCTCCACCTTGATCTGCCTCGTGGACCTTGCGCCACTCCAACTTACTTGGACCGAAGCCTCTGGCACAAGCCTCTCCAAGCCTTCTTCAGCAGCTTGGAAAATGGGCCGCTGGGGAATTGGGAGCAAATCACGCTCACGAGCCCGGACAAAGACATACGCCCGAGGGCATAGCGCATCTTGCGGGGAGTTTGCGGATTGCCTCAGTTTGCTGCATGAAAAGGCTTAATGAAAAAACACGATCAAATTAGCAACTACTTGCTGTGTCCAACCTTTGTTCAAAACCGAACATCGCCTCGACAAATCAAGCCCAGCTTGCATGGTTGGCCAAAGCTTCGAACGGCTAGCTCTCGTTCAACTAGTTCCATCAAATGAACATGTGCAGGAAGCTGTATCTTTGTCTTTTGGCGCAAGAAAGGAAGAATTGCATCCTCTGCGACAGCGGAGGGGGCCAAACCGGCGGACAATTCATTCGAGAAACATATTGACCGGATTTCACCAGTCAAAACAGCATCAAAACAATTGGTCTTTCGAGGAAGGACCTCAGCAATCCTCAGCATACTTCTGCAAGGGGATTCCATTTGGTTCCAGCTGAATCAAAATTACGCGACCAATCACAACTTCGTCTCGACCGAAATCTAATCACCTAATCAATTGAACAAATCCCCTCACATACCAAATTGGTTTGTCAAGAGTTTGAGGCTTCAAAAGCATTGCTATCCCAAGCTCCATAAATCATGACATGTTTGGGCAGAGTTCGGTCCTGCCCTACAATCAAAGGAAGCAACACCAGTCCAAGGTCACAAAATGGGTCTGTTCATGACAGCCCTACCTTTCTGCTCCAAGGGTCAAGCAACCTTGCTGTTGGCCATCTTGCCACGGAATCCCGATCCTGCTTGTCCAAGGTCGCTGCTCTCTGTGTATGCTGCAAATGGCAAAAGCCACAGGCAGCACCCTGTTAGGGTCCAGGGACGGTGAGTATGGAATTGAACTACATCGAGATCTAAAGTTGAATGGTGACTAGGTCCAAAACATGTCAAAACTTTGGATAACCTGGATAACTGATATGTATATGTACTGTAAATATATATATATATGTATATTGAACTTATATTGTATTGTCTTATGTTCAATTATGTTATATGTTATATATTGCGAGGGGCTTGTTGTGAGCGGTTGAAAAGTAAGCTTTTTAGGATTAATCTAGATTCATCCACTGCCAGAAAGTTAGTCAGATGCTCAGCGGCAAGCATGCAAATATCACTTTCTCGGAACATCATTTTCTCGGAAGAATGCAACACAGTTGTGCAGATATGGCCTCATTTCATTGCGTGCAAGGCCTTGCGCAAAAGGTTTTGCAAATTGGCTACATTGTCCTTGCATGGTTTGCAAGCACTTATGAACAGCGGTGCCAAATTATCTAAGGCCTCAGAAGCTTCGGCAACAGCAGAACGAGCATGATGCAACCTCTTGGCAGCCGATGATGTAGATGAGGAAGATGACGACGAAGTTGAAGACGATGGTGATTTTGCCCGACCTTTTGCACTTCCGGCTGGTTGAGGATGTTCATGGTCATCATCACTGTCCATCTCGCCAATGTCTTGCTCTGTGCCTTGCTCTGGCCCATTTGCGCCACTACCTTGAGGAACTCCTTCGGGTTGAGCATCTTCCAAAGCTTGGATGCAAGGCTTGTATTCCAGCGGCATCAGCATAGAATTGGTGTGTGGGGACAGTGTTTCTCCTCGAGCCCGCTTTTGTTCTGACTTCAAGAGCCACTGCGTAAGCTTTTCATGAGCTTGCGTGCTCCATTGCCCAGCAGCGCCTGCTTGTAAGCGCAGATGTCGCTGAATGTTGCAAATCTGCATTTGCATTCGGCGGGCGGATAGCGTAGTAGCTTTTGAGGGGTGAACGACCAAGGTGCGATCTGCGATCTGCTTAATAATATCCTCAGGCTCAGGCGGTGTCGAGACTGGCCCCCCAACCGCCTCAGGTTGGAGTTCAAGCAGTGCCTTGGACTTGGAGGACTTGAGCTTTAAAGGTTGGGAGCCCTGCACGGAAGTTGCCACCGTAGTCGGGCGTCATCAGGTCCCCTACACAGAGGGTCTTTATTTTCCGCACATCGAGCTTGTTTCCGAAGTTCAAGTGCTTCAGGAGGTATGTCTTGCGGTCGCTCTGTGTGGGCTGAATCAGAAAAGCCTGCAATCTGAATGAGCCTTCATACGGTTCTTTGAGGGCAACAAAAGGTTCTGGAAGCTTTGCTTGATCACCTGCTTGAAATTCGGCCAGCGCAGCTTCGAAGTCAAGCTGGGTGTTCGCAGGGAGCTCGATCAGGTCGAAGGCATGCTTGAGCTTCGTAGCTGACTCTGCCACCGGTCGGAGACTGAGGTGCTGGAGGCCTAAAGCGCCATTGAGATGAACAAGTTTGGGATGAAGCAGGTCTACCAGACGCAGGGACGACATGAGGGCTGCGCAAATGAGGCACCTGGATTCGAGACTTTCAGGCTGCAGGGAAGGGGTCTCCGCTTTCGATGCCAAACCTGTAGCAGATGGAGCAGATGAGTCAGATTCAGATAGGTGTCTTTTTTGGAATAGGATTAATCTAGATTAATCCTGCAGACGTCAAAACCTCGAAACAACAACAACAACAAAAAACAATGATTTCCACACCACTCCATGTTTGGGAAACTTTGGTTTTTTAGGAAAAAACAAACAAGATGGAGCCCACGAACCCGAATGCAAACACGTTCAAAAAGCTACATATGTCCAAATAACACTCTTGTAGGACACTCTTGTGGGACACTCTTGTGGGTCACTCTTGTAGGAAACTCTTGTGGGACACTCTTACGGGACACTCTTGTGGGACACTCTTGTGGGACACTCTTGTGGGACACTCTTGTGGGACACTCTAGTAGGAAACTCTTGTGGGACACTCTTGTAGGACACTCTTGTGGGATACTCCTGTCGGACACTCTTGTAGGACACTCTTGTGGGACACTCCTGTAGGACACTCTTGTGGGACACTCTTGTGGGACACTGTTGCGGACACTCTTGTGGGACACTCTTGTGGGACACTCTTGTGGGACACTGTTGCGGGACACTCTTGTGGGACACTCCTGTGGGACACTCATTTGGGGCACTCTTGTGGGACACTCTTGTGGGACACTCTTG